CCCCCCGTGGAGTCGCCGCTTCAGGCTGTGCCGGGCGGGGCGGCACCCTCCCTCTCGGCGTCGTTGCTGAAATTGCGTCATGCCCCCCCCCCTTCCCCCGGCTGTTTTCCAATCATCGGAGGTGCATGGCGCGCGCGAACACTCATACTCGTCGTCCGCGATCTGGCCCCGTTCTCGTTGAGCCCTCTCCCTGCCAAGGAGACCCATGTAAAGCCCGCCCAGAGTGGAACGCGGATGCCTCTTGGGATCCAGTCCCAGGGTGTTGCCTCGCCCCCTCTCTGCCCTGGCGGCCCTCTTGACTGTCGCTCCTGCCCGGGGGGACTCGACCTGTGCGGGCCGGTTCCCACAACACCCAAGTCTGGAAGGGCAGGCGGGCGGCTGGGCGGCCGGGCGGCCGGGCGGCTGGGCGGCCGGGGAGGGGGGGGGTGGGGGGACAGATTGCGCAATTCCGCTCCGACCCTTCTCGAAAAGCTGGGCCGGGGGAAAGGAGGTGGCGCCTCGCAGGGGGCCCCCGCGCCGGCCCCCGTGTGTCTGTGTCGCCGCTCCCCGCGGGTAGGGTTGACCTGGGGATCGCCCATGCACGGGCGCCACCTGCTGCGGCGGTTTCCGACCAGCAAGCCGGCGCTGTGTGGCCCGGCCGGGGCACGTGCACCCCACGAGCAGCCCCCTTCCGAAAAGCCGAAGCCCAGCCGATGGAGCACTCGTGCACAGCCTCTCCCCTAGGGGGAGCACCTCGGCCTAGCAATCCTGCAAAGTCCCCTGGTGCCGATGTGCAATGCCCTCGGCTGCCACTAGTCCACCCTAACCGAAATGGCAAGGCCCTATGTGTACCTGGGTTAAGAGACATTGCCAGTATTAATTCAACCCTGATACCAGCCCCCCCCCCCCTTCGGACTTGTGCCTTTCCCCTTTTTTTTTTTCATTTCCGCGTGCCTGCATGGGGATATGTACATCCTCCCAGAGAGTGTCCAGGCCCAGGATCTATTTGTTGGGACACATGGGGCAGTGTAATGTGTGTGTGTGCGTGTGTGTTTGGGTGTGAACGCCATGTGACCCGCGAGGGCCGGCCTGAGGGAGACGCTTGATGTGGCAGTGATGGCGGCGGCGGCGGCGGCAGCAGCAGCGGCGGTGGTGGTGACAGCCTCCCGGGAGGGAGCGGCACACAGGGCTCTATATACTCCTCCAAGAGGGTCGAAGAGGAGCGGCGCAGAGGAGGGACACACCAATCCCTCACAAGTGGGGACGACTCGACCCCAGCCGAGTGCCAGCCTACATCAGGTCCTCCAGCAAGAGGCCCGAGGTGGGGAAGGATGCCGGAGTGAGGGTCGCCAGTGGCGGCTGCCGCGTGGCGGGGTCTTCCTGCTCCTTCGGCGTGGAGAGGCGCCACTCGTGGAAGGCAAAGGGGGCGCCGGCCAGGCGCTGGCGCGAGGACACCCAGGGTTCCATGCCGGCGCCGCTGCCCCAACCACCTACGGACATATCCTCCTCGGCCGACGTCCAGGCACCGGACGCATCGGAAGCGCGCAGGCCACCGAGCAGCCCCGCGGTGGCGGCCTGCATACTCATGTCCTTGGTGATCGGCATGTTCATGTACCAAGCAAGCCCATTTTCCGGCAGAGGAAGCCAGGCCCCTGCTCCTTGGGTTTGGGTGGCGGCTTGGAGCAAGTCCCCCAGATGCTGGCGCAGGACGGTCCGCTCGGCGGGCAGCGTATTGAGCAGCTGCTGAATATGCTGGTCGATCTGCTCATCGGTCACCGTCAGGCAGGGCGGCCGCGGGTCGCTCGACATGACGCCCATTGCCATCGACCGGCCATGCTGCTGCCAGGGCTCCCGATGTTCCGTGAGATTGCTCCTGGCCTGGGCCTCCGGGGTCCATGGATACGCCAACTCGGTCGACGGGCCATGATCCTCGGCCTGATCGCGGCTCCGGACCGGGGTCACAAGCAGGCGAGCCAGGCCCATCAAGCCCAAGCCGTCCAGTGGCGAATCCCACTGATGGGCATCGGCCATGATCGGCTCGGCATTCAGGTAGCCTCGCGGGCGGTCGGCCCACTCGGGCGCCGGGCAGAGGAGCTGATGCATCAGCCCCTGCGAGGAGTGAGGCCTCCAGGACTGGCGGCTCGGCCGTAGCTTCGCCAGCCATACGGCCACCTCGCGGGAGGTCCAGGCCGCGGTTTGGCGGGCCGCCAGGGCTGCCACCTCGACCGGGTCCCGGCCTATGTACTGCCCCAGTAGCTCGACCGTGGTCCGGGCCTGGGTCAATTGCTGTCGCAGGTGCCTGGACCAGGACCCATTGTCGGTCATCTGCATGGCGCTGACACTCCACTGCGGCCCCTCATCCCGGCGCCGCAGACGAGCTCTAGCCAGGGCCGCTCGGCGGATTTCGGCGAATGCCCTTCGTGGGATGGGGGCCACGGTCGTCGATGGCCCAGCCGTCGAAGAGGCCCTCTCTTCTGCCTGGGCCAAACCATAGGTCCGACTGCTGACCGACGCAGCCAGCGTGGCCAATCCCTCCGAGGTGCTCTCCAGCGAGAGGATCTCCTCCGCATGGCAGATGGCAGGCAGCGAAACAAACAACCGGAAGCACGCCGAAAAGACGGCCAGCCGAATGGTAGGATCCAGCTCCAGGGCGGTCAGGCTGGCCGTCGGGTCAAATGCACGAACCAGGGCCATCATGTGGTCCGATACCGGGGTCTCCAGTCGCGACAAGGCCGCCAGCGTGTCCATACACTGGGCGAAGAGCGCCTGCAGCGGCAGACTCACCAGCTCGGCGATTGACATGTACGACACAACCACATGACCCACCAGCACTCGGCCCAAGTGGCAGCTACTGATCCGGGCATTGGGGATATGCGATAGTGCGGAGGCCGGAAGCTGCAATGCTGCCAGCAGGGGGCGCGAAGCATCAGGGCAGGATTCCATGAAAATAGGTGGCAGGTCCGGGTGCTCTCGCTGCCTGGGGATAGCCGAGGATGCTCGACCGGCACGAAGCATGGCCGCCAGTGGCTTGAGGGTCGGCAGGTGAGCCGTTGGCCGAGGGTCTGTCAGTTCGGGCCGGCGCTGGGCGAAGTTCCTCAAGTTTTGCTCCCACCGGCACGTGGAAGTTTCTTAGCACGAGCGCATGTGTCAGTCCGGGGGCAGCGTGTGTGTGTGTGTGTGTGTGTGTGACAGAGGGAAAGGAGATCAGTCACCCGGACAATTTGACCAAGAGGGGAGGAGGGGAGAGAGGGAATCGGAGAAGGGAGCAATGAACAATGTACCTGCGAATGATTCAGCATGCGTATGAGGGCCGAAGTATCGCTGGGCCGCGGTAAGCAGTGTGGACATCCGGCCGCCAGCCAGTCGAGCCGGCAATGGGCCGGATTGCGTATGAAGAGCCGTCACATTGAATCGAGCATCGATGTCCGGATGCAGGGCCATGCGCTCCCGCATGTAGGGAGACAGTTGCATTTGCAAGTTGCGGAAGGGCGACCGTTCGACCGTGTGACAGGGCACGCAGGCCGCCTGCCGGAGGTTTCGAATGGATTCCAGATTCGGCTGAATCGGTTTCGAGGAGGTCGGGACAAATACTCCGGTTGTCTCGAAGATCCGATTTGTCGGGATGTGCCCCAACCGCAGCTGGCTGAAGTTCGGCAGTCCCTGTTTGGCCTTGGCCCAGAAGCCGGCGACGCGTGCATGCCGGTCCTCGTTCAAGAGCGGCGTTCCTGTGTTCAAAAAATGTCAGGCACCATCTCGTGGATTGCCGATGGGCTGGTAGCAGCAGCAGCAGCAGCAGCAGGACCCCTCTCCCCCCTCTTACCAGACAGGCGCCGATCGATCGAGGGGGGGCAGGAAAAAAAAAGAAGGACAGGAGTCGCCTCCAGCAAAGAGAGGCCAGGGGAAGAGTCGCTGGCAAAGCGGGTCGCACCCTTCATATCCAATTCCGCCAGGCGAGATGCGCTCATGAACAAATCCGCCAGCGGCACGCGCACATCGACATTGGGTGTCTTCATGTCTACCGACGGCCATCGGTTAGGGGCGGGAGAGGGAATGTCAGAGACGTTGCAATAGACACTGAGGGACGCGCATTCTCACCAAGCAAGGAGCGACATACTTCGCATGCGTAAAGCCAGCAAAGATGTGTTGGCATGGAGGGCGCCAAACAAAATTGCCGCTTCGCGATGGTTCAGGTGATTGCCTTTCGTTTTTTTCCCCGGCCACAAGAGATACGAGGATGTTAGGTTGCCTGCATGGGATCTAGTGGAATTGCGGCTGAGGGGCGGGCTGGAAAAGGGCACGAGCGGAGTTCGCGCGTCTGGAGCGTACCAGAAATGTCAAGGATCCGGGCTTGCAGCTGGCCCGTGGCCAGCTGCCGGGCAAGGAGGTTCATGGATCCGGCGATGCCAAAGTTGTTGTCTAGTTGGCGACAGACCCAGTATGTCAGTGGTTGCAATGAGGTGTGTGTGTGTGTGGGGGGGGGGTGGCGGAGGGGCATGGCATGTGAACGCACGAGACAGATCGATATAGGAGGTGTGCCGGAGGAGGTCGGAGCGGAGGAGAACACTGACCAAATTCTCACCAATCGAGCAGTCTTCGATGAGAGGGAGTCAATCAAAAGGGTACACAGCGGCTGGCCGCCTTCGTCGGGCCAATTGGGCGGGCAGGCGTTCGGGAGGGGCGGGGGGGCTGGTGTGTGGGGGGGGGGGGGGGGCGCACTGTGCAAGGTGAGCGAGTTCAGGCGCGGCCGACCTTGCAAGGCCATCTGCAGCTCATTCAAGTGCTCCAAAGTAAAGGGAACCGCTGGTGGACAGGGACCGGAGTCGGAGAGGTGGTGGTGGTGGTGGTGGTGGTGGTGTGTGTGAGAGGAGGGGCAATGCGGAGAAGGGGCAGACATGGGCGACTGGGACGATGTCACAACGCACAGAAAAGGTGGAGCTGGTCGACCATGGAGAAAGTGCGCAGAAGAAAGCCCAAGAAGGAGGGGGAGATTTGGGCACCTAGTGGGAAGGACACAGACATCATTAGCAAGGTTGACACACATCACCACTCCCCCGATGCGTTCCCCCCCCCCCCCCCCCCCCCAGGCCCTGGCTTCGTACCATTGATCGAGAGGCTGCGAATGGACCCATAAAACTGACACTGGGGACAGATTGGCGTTGTGGTTTGGTCCAGCAGATACCCGCTCGATCGGCGACTGTTGCAGACACACTGGCGAGCGGTGGCATTAGTGCGCCCTGTGCCGGGGGCCGAGCCCTTCGTGGAGGAAGCCCCGGCGGCAGGCCCGACAGGGGACAGGGTGATACCACGAAGCAGCTCGCCGGACAGCAGGCACCGGCGATAGGTTGTCCGGGAGAGGGTCACACTGTCGGCCGGCCTGGCCGGGCGGGCTGGCGGATTGTGGACGGATGTCGCGCGCAAGTCGAAATAATTCAATGCCGGGAGTGTCCTGACAAAAGCCGCTGCCGGAGTAGTGGCATCATTGTTGCCTGACGGTGCGTGGTCAGGCCTCTTCGGCTGGGGTTTGGCAGAGAGCGGGTCGGAGCCGGCTTTTGGGGAGCCGGCTTGGGGGAGAGGCGCATTGGCCGTCGGAGCTGACTTGTCGAGCCACTCGCCGGTCTTCTGTGTGTCAAATGAAGGAGCCCCAGGAGCGGGCTTCACCTGGGAGGAGGAAGCATCCGCGGTGGAAGATTGTGGGCCCGCGGAGTAGGCTGCTCGGGTGCCATGGCGAAGCAGAAAAATCGAAGCCGCCGGGTTATCCAGACGGCGCCATGGTCGAAGCGCCCGGGCGAGCATCATCTCGCCGGAACGCGGGGCTCTGCCAGGGGGGGGGGGGGGG